CGTCGTTGTTGTGGGCGAGGAGCGCCAGCGCGCGCGCGGCGTTCTTTTTGACCTCCTCGCTGCCCGTCTCCAGCAGCGCGACGAGCGGCCGGATGCCGCCGGCCGCCGCGATGGCGACCTTGTTCGCGTCGTTGTTGCGGGCGAGGAGCGCCAGCGCGCGCGCGGCGTTCATTTTGACCTCCTCGCTGCCCGTCTCCAGCAGCGCGACGAGCGGCTCGATCGCGCCGGCCTCGACGATGGCGCCCTGGTTGCCGGGGCTGTCCGCGAGGAGCGCCAGCGCGCCCGCGGCGTGCTTTTTGACCTTCTCGCTGCCCGTCTCCAGCAGCGCGATGAGCGGCTCGACGGCGCCGGCCCTCGCGATGGCGACCCGGTTGTCGTTGTTGAGGGCGAGGTTGCACAGCACGCCCGCGGCGTTTTCTTTGGCCGACTCGCTGCCCGTCTTCAGCAGCGCGATGAGCGGCTTGACGGCGCCGGCCGCCGCGATGGCGACTTGGTTGTCGGGGTCGCAGGCGAGGTTCATCAGCGCGCACGCGGCGCGCGCCTTGACATTGTCGTTGCCCGTCTTCAGCAGCGCGACGAGCGGCTCGACGGCGCCGGCCGCCGCGATGGCGCCCCGGTTGCCGGGGTCGCAGGCGAGGTGGCCCAGCACGAACGCGGCGATCACCTTGGCCGACTCGCGGTCCGTCTTCAGCAGCGCGACGAGCGGCTCGATCGCGCCGGCCTCGACGATGGCGACCTGGTTGTCGGGGTTTTTGACGAGGTTCATCAGCGCGCCCGCGGCGAGCACCTTGGCCTTCTCGCTGCCCGTCTTCAGCAGCGCGACGAGCGGCTCGACGGCGCCGGCCGCCGCGATGGCGACCTGGTTGTCGGGGGTTTTGACGAGGTTCATCAGCGCGCCCGCGGCGAGCACCTTGGCCTTCTCGCGGTCCGTCTTCAGCAGCGCGACGAGCGGCTCGATGGCGACGGCCGCCGCGATGGCGACCTGGTCGTCGGGGTTGTTGCGGGCGAGGTTGCCCAGCACGACGGCGGCGATCCAATTGCCCCTTCTGCGCGTCTTCAGCAGCGCGACGAGCGGCTCGACGGCGCCGGCCGCCGCGATGGCGACCTGGTCGTCGGTTTTTTTGAGGGTGAGGTTAAGCAGCGCGCGCGCGACGCGCGCCTTGGCATCGTCGTCGCCGACTTTCAGCGCGCCAACAAGCTCGTCAATAGACTCGGCCATCGAGAGGGGCAGGTCACATCGGCCGAG